TAAAAATAGTCCAAAATAGAGTATAAATACCCAGAAAAAAAGAAATGAAGAGTAGGCAAAAGATGGTAAGAGTTATACCTTTGAAGAGAAGGCACTCTTTTGTTCACAAACCACGAGGTCCTCACTCTCAATGGCTGAAATTTTAGCTCAATAATCTTAGCAAGGAGCCTCAAAATATTGGTTTATGAAGTGTATGTATATTACAAGATAAAGAGGAAGACTATTTAGTAAGGTTTGGGCACTTGGAGAATTTTTCTAACCTAAAACCATGAGGGATGGTCATCTATTTATAGAAACATAGGTTTTTCAATTGAAAATATCTGTATGGAGCGAGCTGGTGCAAGGCATGCACATGGGGAGATAGTTGGCAGCAAATATCTGTCTGTTGGGAAACCTACCCTGCCAGCCATGGAGAGAGATGGCCAGCCACTAAAATTGGCCTGTCAGCCACCAGTTGGCCAGCAGGTCTCTGAGTGGTCAGGCTAAAAAAAAAAAAAAAAAAATAGATTTTGGTTCAAAGGGAGGTACAAGGTTTGGGCTCTGAAGTATCGAAGCATTTTGCTGAGGAAATTGAACAATTGTGCAGCGTACTAATTCATCATTGAGTGTTCACCATGAGGCGCCCAAGTCTTAAGGGCAGTCAAAAATGAAATGTCTACAATTGTAAATTGTGAACATTCACATTATATTTTGGTATGAATTTTATTTTTTCGATGGTTGTATATTTATTGTTTATTATAAACATTTATATTGTACTTTAGCATATGTTTTATTTTTTGAAAGTTAGCTATATGTTTGTTGTTTACTGTGAACATTTACATTGTATTTTAATTTTTATTCAGATTCTATGTTGCGTTATTTTTAAAATTTTCACATTATAAAAAAGTTGAAAGTTCATAATTTAAGATTTTCTCCGTGAAATGACGAAGAGATTTTCTCCATAGAATAAGGGAAAGATTTTCTCATTTGAATGAGAGGGAGATTTTCTCTATGAAATGAAAGACTATTGTCATTTTTTATTGTGTATTAGTTTCAAAATAAAAATAAGTATAAAAAATTAAAATGATGATTTGATCATATTACATTACACATGATGACTTAATAAAATACTTAAAAAGAAGTTGGGTAAAATGGAATAAAAAGATTTATCAAAAAATGACACAATATATTTTAATATTATGCACATATTAGTGAATTCTAAAAAGTTAAAATTCTATTTTTAAATATTTTTTTATAAAATTAGGTACATGTTATGTGATTGTCTTAAAAAGCCAAATAAAATGCGTTATCAACATATCCTATACTATTTGGTATGCGCTTACAATTTTATTGGTCATGTAATCATTATTTCCTATTTTTTCTCTTATATTTCACACAAGACAATCATCTATTTTGTTATGAACAACAACATAATCTTCCTGACCCAAAAATAACTTCCCATGTTACACAAGATTCAAATTCAGCGGGCACATGTTCAAACTATTTAAATCTCACCCTCATAAGTTTATTTAGAAAGAAAAAAAAATAATAATAATACTAATACTAATAAAATTTTAAAAAAGATATGAGTTTCTTAAAAAATGTTTTTTTTTTTTTTTTTTTTCAAACAGTTCAGGCGGAAATCTTGCAACCATACTACAAGAAAGTGTTGTCCAAAACGCATATACTGATGAGGTTTAGGTCTCGTTTAGGAACAAACTTATGAGTCAGCTTATTGATTTATTTATTTATTTAAGTCATATTATTTTTTTAATTTTTGCTTATTTTTTTATAATAAACCAAAAAGTCAGCTTCAAACATCATTATCAAGTTCATTAGATTCTTCTCTTGACTATTTTATATAGGAATAGCCATTTTAATCTGATCCACGGGTGCCCGTCCATACCTGACCCGACCTGGCACTTATGTAGGACAGGAGTGGATTATATTTTGGTAACCTGCAACGGGAGTGAGGTAGAGATGAGTATCGCCTCCACCAATTCAAACTCGCCCTGATATAATTAATAATATATATAAATAAATTATATATGAGAAGGAATATTAAAATCAGTGATTCTGTTTAAATATAAATAAATAATAATTCTAAAAGTTTTACTATTTATATATATGGAAACAAGATAAAGTATTTAGTGTGCTAAGAATTTAAATAGTTTTCAATTTTTTTACTATTTGAAATATGGTCGAGTATCTATAGATATTGTGTATCCGTAGATATGTGCAAGGGTGAGGATGGAGTTGAAAAATTTCACTCGTAGTAGGGTTGGGGCTGGAGTGGGATTTATCCATGAGGGCGGGGGACAGGGGATGACAAAATTGTTCCAAACTCGTCCCGTGACCATTCCTACCTAAGGACACTACAAGAAAAAATACTTTTGGCGGGGCGAGGGTGGGGTTTGAAAGCAGGGGATGACAAATCGTTCCCAAACTCGCCCTATGGCCATCCTTAATTTTACAGAATAAAATCATAGAACCACACTTTATCAAACTCAATTATTTTGTAATTATTTTAGTTGAATATCAAACCACTAACTACATGTAACTACGGAAAAATGATTCAACAAATGAAATAAAGAAAGTAGAGTTTGTTAGAGAATGTATTTGAAAAGATGGTTAGCTAAAATAGAAAATTAGACTTTTAATTAAAATTTAACTAAAAATTTGACTATTTTGATGGAGATGCTCTTATAAGCCACTTACTAAAACAATCGTTATTATAGTAATGAAGTTTAAAACAACATAAATTCAAAATCCTCCCACTCAACCCAAAATATTTGGGTTATTATTATCATTTTTGAGTTCCTACAAAATATTAAATGAACAAAAAGTCTGGAATCCTGCACTCAAGTGTCCAGAAATTATCCAGAAGAGTGATGTATTGTGGAAATTATTTGCGTATTTTGTGAGGTCCATGCATAACATAAATCTCAACCACATATTCAAATTCTCTTAAAAAATAATAATAATCAATTGAAATTCAACCATCCTCAAAATTTAATTCTAAATGATTTTGGAATAATATATATATATATTTCATGTATTTTATTTTTATTTTATTATGTAACTAAATAATATAAGAATTAAAATTAATATTTTTAAATGAGGGCTGGGGATAGAATTTAGGAGTTATTACTGTGGAGAAGTGGTTTGGAAATACTCTCGGATCCTGTAGAACGTTCCTGATCCTCTGATTGTCACCTGAAAAATGGATTAACACTCTGGTCGGGGATGTCGGAATTAGCACTCCGACGGACAAGTTAATATATGTACTCTCGTTTGTTTGTATCTTAAGTTTCTTTAGTCTGTTCTCACATACCTCTCTTACGTTGATGTTCTTCTATTTATATTCGCTTAGGGCCCTAGGGTCGAGCCCACTCTTAATCCATTGTATAATTGCTCATTCGGCCCTTCTGTCGTCTGCCAATTCCCACTCGGCTTCTTGTTCAACTGGTTCTATGGCCGATTTATCTATTCGGCTTCAAGATCCCCTGGGCGGAGCCGAATAGCATATATCTTGATTTTCTCCAAATTCATGGCTTACACATAAAAGATACTCAACTCCCATAATTACCAATTAGTCTCATTAAATAGACTTAAATATCATTAAATTCTATTGTTTTTTTTTTACTGCACTAATAAGTCCTATTATACCTATACCTATCAAGTTCTTTTATCTTCTCTTCTCTTCTCTTTCTCTCTCTTTACCCTTTTTCTAAAAGTTTCACGCCACTATTTTCTACTATTACCGCCGCCATCGCCATCCGCCTGCCACCACCACTGCCATCGTCGTCTACCTACCACTACCACCATCTTCATTGTCCACCCATCATCTTCTCTTCTCTTCTCTTCTCTTCTCTTCTATTATCTCTCTCTCTCTCCACCATTTTTTCAAAAGTTTCACACCACCATTCTATACCAATGCCGTAGCCGTCTTCCCACCACCACCATTGTCATTATTCAAATGCCGCCACCGCCCACCAATTATCTCTGGCATCATCGTAGATCTACACTCTATTGTCGCCGATTTATACTTTACCGTCGTTTATCTACACTCTTCCGTCGCTGATCTAAATAACCACCATATCACCACCACCTCCTTTGTTTCAAATTCATATTTATTTTTTAGTAATAAATTTATCAGTCTCTTTTATTCTTTTTATATATGGAAGAGTATGATGAATTATTGTCGATGAGTGAGTGACTAAGAGTAAGAATAGTGAATATTAATGAATAAATTTACAATGATATATTTATCAGTTAAGACTTATAAGCAAATAAATCTGATTAATAGGACCGACCCATATGTGTCCCAATTTATCTTCCAAACCACAACTCAAATGATAAATGGCCAAAAAATAAAATAAAAAATTTAAATCACCAAAAACTCAGCAGGCCACTAGCCAGTGGCCACTCGCCAACCGTATTCACAATGAAAGCATATAACTTGCAAATAATAATAACAAGAATAGCGTTATGCATTATTTTGGTTCTTATATAATTTTCACAACTTTGCTTACAAACATCTACTAAATTACTATTGTTTCATCTTATTATACATGGAAAATTTATTAATAAATCTTATATTTTCGTGGTTTATGAACCATTTAATAATCTCATAAATATTCTTATAAATCTATAAGTTCTATTTCACATTAAAATCTCTCAAATGAAGTGTACACACATTTGAAAACGTAATAAGACAATAGCGCATACATTAAAATGATATTCCATTATTATGTTTTAAAATGATGGCACATTTGAAAAAAAAAAACTTTATAATACAATAGTGTACAAATATCTCATTGTCACATTTTGAAAAGAATGGCACACATGCACAAATATCCCATTATCACATCTCACATTTGAAGAAAAATGATATATTTGACAAAAGTTTAATAAGGCAATAGTACACATCAGAATAATGTTACATTATCATATTTTAAGAAGAATGACACATTTAACAAAAGTTGAAGAAGACAATTCTACACATTAGAAGCCTATTCACATTTGGAATCTCCAAAGCATATGGTGAAAGGATTTCACACTCTGCATTTTCAAATTCAATCGAAGTTAATAATCTACAAGAAAATTCATGAAATATTAAACAACTTATTTTTCTAGGATAGGACTTGTGAATAAATTTCGCCAATTATTTTTTTTTTTATTAACTACACAAATGGGTGTGCCACACTCCCATGTGAACCGCACTTATATACGTTTGGTAGAAAAATTGGTATTTCAAAATATCTTAATCATTTTTGTAGCCAAATAAGTTTCCATGTGTCTAGCTTTTGTTCATGCAGCATCAACTTCATTAAGAATTACACCTACGCCCCATGCAAGAATTCATAGAACACCTCACGAGACAAAGCTCTTAGGCTACGTCATCGTTCTCATTGTCATCCAATGATCTCCCCATTGTCTCATGCGTAAACAAGCGAGTCGTGATCACTCCCACAATGCAGGCTCCTCCAAGTATCACCAATCCAGCTGTTATTCGGTTCGCATTAGAATGATCATTCTCTTCGTTTTGCTGAGAAGCCCAATAGAACCCAATAGACCCAACAATTGCTCCAATCTTTCCAAAAGCCCCCGAAATTCCATGGCATGTTGATCGAAATCTTGCTGGAAAAAGCTCCGCAGGAACTATAAAAGTAGTCGTGTTTGGTCCAAAATTTGAGAAAAAAAATGTAAAGCCATATAGAAATAGAAATCCTCTATCTGAGTGGTCATACCAGTAAGAAAAGTATGGTATCCCCATGGCAAACAAGGCAATAGCCATAAAGAAGAAGCCCATAATCTGGATTTTGACTCTGCCAATGTGATCGATGAATAAGACAGTGGCAAAATATCCTGGGATTGTCGAGCAAATTGCCAACAGTGCTTGGAATCTTGCAACATTATAGGCGTCTTGGTACGCATTCATGTTCTCCTTTTTAGGGAGATATTGGTCATTTAATTGAGACAGAACTAAGGTAGTACTGTAAAAGACAACATCAACCAGAAACCATGAAACGGCGGAGGAGAAGAGATCGCGGCCATGGCGGCGAAAGAATGCTCTGGAAAAAAATGGGTAATCAAGTGGAGGAGGATAAGGTGGTAACTCCTCATTCCTTAGGGGAAGGTCTAGCACATTTCGCGCATCGTTGACTGCTTGTAGGACATTATGCTCTACCAAAGCCGTGTATCTGTTAAGAGTAAATAGACAAAATTAAAATGAGACTGAATATAGTTGTAAAGGATTTTGTGTTTATATAAACGGGAAAAGTTAGGGGTCATGAAAAAATTTTCTTAAAAAATTTATGATATTTGGATTACCTTGATTAGTGTATGGTGTTTTATTTTAAATGTAGTCTAAGAATCACAAAATTTTCATAATTATTTTCACAAAAGATTTTTCATGATATCTATCATTACTATAAAGAATCAAGAAAGGTATGCATATATATATATAGCTATTCTAGGAGCACAAAATTCTATCATAGAACAAGAGACAATCTTCTTATATGAGATGGAATCTGTCCATTTTATAGGTCCTACCCCATGTGAAAATGTTATGTCTGCTTTTTTATCTTGTACATGTGTATTCAATGAAACAAAACCTTGATAACAGTTGAATCGTTTCCATTAAATAATTGAAAATTTTATTCATGTAATAAAGACGTAATACAAAAGGCTCTGAATTTTATTTGAAAAAAGGTGTAGCCCCTTTCCAATTCGTTATCGGAGAGATCAAATCTAGTCAACTACGTGCCCACCTTAGGCTAGCTTTGACAATTGAGATCATTTATTTTAAGAGACTCACTGAGTATATCATTTATATTAAAAATTAAGTTAATCAAATTCAATATGTATTTGATCATATCATTATTTTATGAATAAAAATAGACATCTATTTAATTTAATTTTTTATGTTCATAATGTGGTCGATAGGTCCTACAATAAAACTATTCAATTTAATTTTTTATGTTCATAATGCGGTGGATACGCCCTACAATAAAAACTATATTGTTATCAAGACGAGTCTGATGTGGGCCTATAGTAGATCGGAGTAGACCTCTCTAATCCTATCACAATTAGAGAATTCCACTTGCATAATTTTAGAACAAAAATTTATATAAAAATTCTGATTTATTTTATATTGTGTAGCAGTCATCTATGTATTTGTCGTGTAGTATAATTGGGGGTACAAAAATGGTCCGTAACTCGTAGGCAGCTCGAAAATAGCCCGCAGCTTGAGGTAAGTCCAGCTTGGGTAGGCTTGGGCCCGAGTTTAGCCCGAGATCCTAAGTTTAGGCTTGGACCATCATTTTAAAACACGTCCCAGTCCGTGACCTACCTTGACTCGGGTATGCCATTTAAAAAATTAAATTTAAATATAAACATTAGGTGGAATTAAACATATAATATGTTAAAAATACCTTGTAAACAAAGAAAAAATAATAGATTTATTTTTGCAACAATATTAATAAGAGTAGTACTGACTCTCACATAGCTTAATTAGCGCTAAGTAACCTTATACAAAGATTTTCTAAAAGTTTTTGATACTGTAACAAAATTATTTTCTTGTATATATATTCCTGCTTCACTATTTGTTTTATATATGTTAGCAGAAATAATGAAAGTTTTCGTAACATATATGGATAATGAATATTATCTAATCGTTATTACTGCAATGAAAGAAAATTTCGATAAATATTTTAATCCATTGTCTCATCTTTTAGGTTTAGGCATAATAATTGATTCCAGATGTAAAAAAATTTACAAAAAATTTTATAATTTATTTTCGCTGATCAAAAACAATTTGACCTTGTTATGCAAACATGCAAAACAATATTTGAAAAATATATGGTAGTTGCATCTGCAAATACACCTATACACACTACACCAGTAGCCTCATCTCGAGGCAGAAGATTAAGTATTTTTTCAACAATAAAAAGAAGAAGAATGTCTCAATATACAGGTGTAAATAGTTCTGAACTATAATATTATTTAGAAAGCCCTGTAGTTGATTTCAAAAATTTTAATATTTTAGATTGGTGAAAACAAAATGAAATTATGTGGCCTTTGCTTTCACAGATGATCCATGATATACTACTCGTTCTTATTTCTACAATTGCTTTGGAAACAACTTTTAGTGCAGGTAGACGGGTGCTTAGCGATTATCACAGCAAGCTTTGGTCTCAAATGGTTGAAGTACTGATGATATACATAGATCATATGTATGCACTTACGAGAAAAAAAAAATTATAGTAAAAATTAGATAATTCAAAGTGATTTGGATGACATCTCATTGGGCAACGTGAATGAATTGTCTGCTTCCTCCGATAATTGATCAACAATTTATTTTTCACTATTTTATTTCTTTTTTTTCTTTTTTCTTTGTTTTTTTTTTTTTTTTTGTATTAGATTATTTAGATGGAGTATAATGCAAATGATTGGTAGGCTAGTAAGTGTCAATCTAGCTATGATGTACTTAACTTATAGGGATACAATTGCTTTACTATCATCAAAATTTTAAGATTTAAATTAATAAATTAAAAAACTTAAGATTTATTTTGTTATAAGACTTAAATTCTAAATTTTTAAAAAATTTCTCAAAAAAAAAAAAAAATCCGAAAAAATCGAAGTCAGAAAATGACCAAACACCCAATATAAAGATGTCAATATTTCAAATATTTCTTATATTTTGAAAACATAAAAAAATTTACCTTGCAGTTTCAGGCATCTTCATGCGCCAGTAAAAAGTCAAACCGGCCGGAATGGAACCGATCAGGAGAATGAGCCGCCACGCCCAGTCCGCGTCCTTGGGCGTCTTCTCATAAGAAGAATGCGACGCCGCGTCAAATATGGCGCAAATCGCCATGGTCACCGCGGAACTCGCCAAAATCCCGAATCCCTGCATCGAGAAAACGGCAGCTATGAAACCGCCACGCGTCCTCCTATTAGCAAACTCCGACATGATAGTCGCCGACAGAGGATAATCCCCTCCAATTCCCACACCAAGCAAGAACCTAAAAAAACCCAGACTCGTCAACACACAGATGGGGGACGTGCAGATAGAGAATCCGCAACCAATAGAGCTGAGCACCATGAGCATGAGTGTGATGCCGTATACTCGACGTCGGCCCATACGATCGCCGAGGTGTCCGAAGACGAGCTGGCCGATCACCGCCCCTAAGAGAGCAATGGCGACCATGGCGGAGGTGATGGCGATGGGGACCTGGTAACGCTTTTTGGGATCGTCAACGTCGTCGTAGTAGACTCGACCAATGAGTCTCATGATGGGAGGGATGCAGAACAGATCGTAGGCGTCGGTGAACAATCCCATTCCTGCAATTATGATTGCTTTATAGTGGTAGCATTGGGTTCTCGCAGTGTCGAGGGCATTAAGGACTTGTTCTAACGACATTATTACTACACAACACCGGTGAGGAGAGAGATATGACTTTTCTGCACTTGTTGCTGCCTTGAGATGGGATGGGAAACTTATACGTATCAAGTATTTATACGATAACTGACACCGACTTCTTGGTTTTGTAATTTTTTTTAGGAGTTTTCTTAAGTGTGCAAGTGCACACCATGTGCCACTTACATAAAAAGTGTAAGTGTAAGGTGTAAGTATAAGTATAAGGTGTAAGTGTAAGGTGTAAGGTGTAAGTGGGTTGCACATGGTGTGCAACCTCAAAAAATGTGTAAGTGTAAGGTTTAATTTTTTACAAAAGGTGTAAGTGTAAGGTGTAAATGTACGGTATAAGGTGTAAGGTGTAAGTTGCACACCATAACCAAACCCTTTTTTTTATTCGTGGTTTGAGTGTTGTTGTCCAGCACGTCGCCATCAAAAATGCTTAGACCCTGTTTTTATTCATGGAACTCTCATGCCTCCCGTTTTTATATTTTTGTTTTGTTTTTTTTTCCCTTGGATCATTAACAGGTGAATGGAGTTGCGGAGAATATGGGCTTGTTTGGTTTTTTTTTTTTTTTGAGAGAGTTGTTTTTGAAAAAAAAAAATTGGGGAAGAGAGTTTAGAAATTTTTTTGATTTGTTTAGTTGTATATTTTGAAAGTAGTTTTAGAGTTTCGAATGATTTGATATTTTGTTGTAAATGAATAGATGTGTGTGAGAGAAAAAGTGATTGAGAATGAGAGAGGAGAAAGAAAAAGTGATTGATTGATGTGTAAGAGAGAGAAAGTGATTTTAGAAATTTTTTGAGAAAAATCTCAAACCAAACAAATTTTTGAATTTTTTTTTTTCTAAAACTCATCTCTAAAACTCAAACCAAACATACTTTTTAAGTTTCTGGAAGGTCTCAATGTAGAGTTTAATCTAGTCCGGGGTCGTGTCCTTGACATGGATGTTCTTCCATCTCTTCAAGAGGCCTTTGCATATATACAGAATGAGGAGAGTCATCGTTCTGCTATGTTACCACCGGCTATTGGAGACCGTTCAGCATTACTTTTTGCTCCTTCTCGAGATGGGATGGGTTTATCACTACCTCTTTACCATCCTCCAGGGAAGGATACTGTGTTCTGTGATTACTGCTGCAAGACGTGGCATACTCGTGAGATGTGTTGGAAGCGTCATGGAGCTCCATCAAGGAGTTGGGTTAATCAATCTGGTACTAGAGGCTGTCGATTAGTCCAGTCTAGTGGATGTGGCTCTAATCCACAGCCCCATCAGTCTAGTGCTGTTGACACCCTTAATTCTACTTCTGCTTTAGTTGGTCCGATTTCTGATAGTTTATCTAGCAGGACTTCTTTTGAGCTTGAGGATGTTCTGCGTCATTTGCTAGCCCACCGGTCTCCTACTGCTCCTAGTGCATCTTCCTCGTCATTTGCCCGCTTAGGTAACTTAGCCTCTTCTCCTAGCGCTTTTCTTTCCTATAAGTCTTTGCTATGAATTATTGATTTTGGTACCTCAGATCATATGTCTGGGTCTTTTGACCTGTTCTCAACATATAAGCTCTTTTTAGGTCAAGACAAAGTTAGGATTACAAATGGTACTATTTCTTCTATTTTTGGGAAATGTTTAATCCGTGCCACTCCTATAGTGAGTACTCAAATTGACAATAAGATTAATATCCTTCATAGTGACGGCGGGACAGAATACATGGATGGTGCCTTTTGCACCTATGTTGATGGTTCATACTATGGCTGCAGATGAACTGAGTCAAGCTGAGTTCTAAAGGATTCCAAGCTTGGCCTGGTTCATTTGGATGGTGTATTTGAACACCTTGTTCTTGTGTAAAATCTATTCTGGTTGCACCTAGCTCAAATATAGTAGGAGGCTAACACGTGATATATATTTTAATCCCTCTCTCGCTCTAGTCCCATCCCATTACCCCTTGATTTGTCCCACTCCCAATATGATAGGGAGCGGGTTAGGTTATTAAAAATCCACGCCAAACCCAACCTATGTCCATCCCTATTTAAGAGTGCTATAGCCCCATTGACTCTAATGTAAAACATTCAACCTCTAAGATTCAAGGACATGAATTTCAAAATAAATTCATTCTGATATTGAAATTTTTGTTTGCAACTATTATAAGAGCATCGTCCAGTTGAATATCCTAACTAGTAAGCAATAGTACCAATAATGTTAAAAGCACTGAAACTGCCCCAATTGAAACCAAATTGCCAGTTACCAATGAGGGCTGGTTGATATTCACAGCTTTGGTGAAATGTCAATTCATTTTTGTGGATGCAAATCTAACTTTGACCAAGGCCCAGAATGAAAATGAAAGCCCACATTTATGTAGTTCTAGACTTTAGACCAAACCCAATGTAAGGCTCAAGACACCAATTATGTTTTTTTTTTTATTTTTAATTTTCAAATTCAGCCCAAATAATCAGAGGCCTACATAAACATCTAATTTGGATCAGTGAGAACTTAGAAATATGAGTCATTTTAGATAATGGGTGTTCAGTGGATCACAACCTCTTCAACTATATATATCTGGGTCAGACATATTGTGAGTCTTTTCCTTTCAACAATTAATGTAGTCTAGCTTGCAATTGAAAATTACGTAGGATTTCAAATTTAAGGTATCACAATAAATAAGTGTCTTAGAGGCTAACTTTTTTTCGTTTCTATATGGGGAAAAAATTTTCTAGCAAAAAATATTAGGAGACCACTAATTATCATATGAGTCAACACGAAAAGACCATCTTAAAATGTTAAAAAAAGACTTCATGAATTTTTTTTTTAAAAATGCTGCTAATAAATACACTTTTAGGAACAAAATAATTTATTGTAAAATATGTTTACTTTTGTAAATGAAAATTTTAGTCCCAAGAGAATAGTATTGTGCAATTTTCTCACTTAAAAATAGGGGATGACTCTTTTCCATGTCACTACTATCCTCCATATTTCATCATACTCTATTTTACTGGCTTCATTTCGGGTCCACAATGATAATTCAAACCATTCATCTTGTAAATCTCATAGTAAAAATGTATGTACAAAAAATTAGCTTCATCGAATATCATTAGATACGTGAACAAATTATATATATATATATATATATATTTAAATAGACAACAACTATGTGTTTAAATTTAAACCGCTTATTTTATTAAAAACAAATATGATTTTTTCATCTATTTATTGATATCTAATGAAATTTATTTTTTGCACAAACGATTTTTAGCATGAGATTTACAAGATGAACAGTGCTGTGGATCCGGAATGAGGCCCCAAAATAAAGTATAGTCAAGTACAAAAAATAGTGATATGGGGAAGAGCCATTCTCCTAAAAATATGACATTTTTAACAACTGAAATATTTCGTCCCTAAATTTTTGTCTGAAGTTCTTAATTTGTTGTACTGAGATATAAATTTAAAGCTCTTGTTATAAGACTATACCTCAATAAATCTAAATTAAAAATAAAAACAACAATAACAATAGCAATACAAAGGTGCCAAATAAAAGAAGCAAAATATTATTCCAAATGTAGCAATAAAAGAATTTTGAAATCTATGAATATGGCCAAGGTCCCATTCTTGAAGGTAATCAGTGTAGAATTGAATTGGGTATGATAATCACAGGCTGCTCTGTTCATGAAAAAGTGTGCTCCTTAACAACCCCTTTGGTGGATTAGTTTTATCAATGTTCCCTTACCAACTGGCCATTATGGATCTTACTTTGTGTCCTAATCTCTATCAAGAGAGCCAAAAAGAAGGATTTATAAGAGACGAACGCCTAGATTATAATATATCTTTTCTTTTATTCTATTATATGAAGTGTTCATTTTATTTGGTGCTATTGTTATTTCATTTTTTTTTTCCATTCAACAATACCCTTCAAAATTACTACTAAATAGTTATAATAATAAAAAAGTGTCAAAACAGTTTACTAAACAGTTAAAATAATAAAAAAAGTGTCAAAACAGTTTTCAAAATCATCCCACTTCTTCCTTCATCAATCTCCCAAAAGTGTAAATGTGCTATTGCATATGTGTTTGCATTCACCACTAGTATGTGTGTGTGTGTGTGTGTGTGTGTGTGTTTGTGTAGACACAGAATGAGAAAATTTAAGCATGTCAGAATCTACTTAGTAGTATTGACAAATGGATTGAACGTTACAATAGAAATATTAGTCTCATCTAATGTCAAGTATTTTATTGTAGAACTTTGGATACAGAGGGCAAAGGTTCTCCTTAGTATAGTTTATAATTTATTATGTTTTAAAATATATATCACGTGTTAACTATATCTTATTTTAAAATAATAATAGACCGTAGATAATGAACCCAACAAAATACTAAAACCCAGATGAATTAAGCAAATGGCATTACTAATCCGTAAAAAAATAAATGAAAACCTGGAAGAGTGGGCATGGTGCAAGAAGCGACGGGCTTGGGCGACTTCTCGACCTCGACAAGGCACGTACGGCAGTTTCCGGCAATGGAGAGGCGGCTGTGGTAGCAGAATCTGGGAATTATCCAAAAAAAACTACAAATCAGACTCCTACTATTAATATACCCATTTTAGAAACCCATTCAAAAACATATAGAAAATAAGGGAGATAGATAGCGTCTAGAAATTGGAGGGAGAGAGAGAGAGAGAGAGAGAGAAACACTACTACAAATATAGATAAAGATCACACTTTTTTTGTGTGATGTATGTTTTTTAATCATATTTTAAATTTTATTAAAGTGTGATCTTTGGGAGTGTGATTAAAAGGTGTCATTTTTAATCACACTTTTTAAGTGTCATTAAAAATGATTTCATCACATCTTTTAAGTGTGATTAATAATATTTAGATCACATCTTTTAAGTGTGATCTTGCAAAGACATTCTCTAAAAATTAAAATGCAAAGTAAATTGAATAAATAGTAAATATGTTATAACCTGTATGCATTAAAGAGCATCTTCATCAATTCTCCTAACGGGGGTGCAAGTTGGCTTCTTGCATCGTTAATATTTTTCTTCTTAGGGACCACCTCTTTATTGACCCC